GTATGTATGTATGTATGTATATATATATTTTTTTTTGTGTGTGTGTGTGTATGCAAATAATGGATAAAAACAGTAGTTTAAGAGCAAGGTTACTCTACTTTAAGTTAATTTAAGATCAGTTAGTGGGATAAAATAATAAAATAAGTTTTACTTCTTCATACCCCTTTCAGGCAATTCAAATTAATCAATGTAATTTCTATGGCTGTATTTACTGACAGGTTTATTTGGTGGAGGCTTTTGTTTCTATTTATGTTTGGGTAAATTTAGTTTGTTTGGAAATTAGTGTTTGGTTTGGTTGATGTGAATTGGTCTCTTTTGTGTGTATTTGCTTTATTCATTTATTTTTGTTGTTTGTTTTTCAAATAGTTTTTTGTCAAATTCTCTGAAATAAAATTCCTATTCTTTCTTAAACAAGTACATAAAAACTTTGCAGGCACAAAATTCCACTGCAGAAACACACCTGTCACAGAAGCACACACATAAAATCCACACATTGCGCCTACCAGCGAGCTGTTTGCCCATGTTCTCCAGCTCTTTGGAAAAGAGGGAGTCGCCAAGCAGCAGCCCCGTCTGCCCGACAGAACTCCCACCTCTTGCAGACTTCAGATCAGCCTCCCAGACAGCCTGACGCTAGTTAGTGAGGGAACAGAAAAAAAGAGCAAGTCACATTAGAAGAAAGACCCTTCAATTAACTCTTTACATAATTTTCAGCTTTTGTTGAAAGTATTCAAGCCATATCTGCTGGTGGGGAAAAAAGGAGCCAATTATTATTTTATGGGCTTTAGAAAAACACAAGAAACCACAGCAAATGTAGATGAAAGCATCCAGTATGGAGGGAATGTGGCTAGACAGTCGGTAGTGGAGCAGCAAGGGCATCCATCGACAGAAGCCCTTACCTTTTCCACAATGGTATGCTTGCATTAGACCTGTCAGCAAAATGTATACCTTAAAGTAAAGTAATATCCATTTAAAATGTTACTTATTAACATATTTTAGAGAGACCCCAGTAATAGAGGCTCAAGTCATCATTGCTTGATTCTTTTCTATAGTAATATCATGTATAGAGTTAATGCACCTAACGTTCATGAGCTCCTTGTGCAGGCGGGAAATAAAACTTGACAGCAATAATCCCAATAGCTGTTTGTTTAGTTTAAACAAGATAAGTTATGATTATGGTATGCTTTTAATGAGAAACAAAACTGTCTTGAGTAAGTATTGAGATGTTCCGAGATATCTGGTAATAGATATATGCCGTACGCGATTGGAGCAATACAGTACAATGATAAAGTCCCAAAAAGTAAAGATTTTTTTACCACAGATAGTCATTTTAGACCCTTTAAGCATATACCAGCAGAACATTAGACTTGTGAAGTTTTATACAGCCCTCCAGGCTCCAGACACCAAACAAATGTGCATTTGTTTGATTATTGTACAACAGCACTTGCTGCAAACACGAGAGATACTTGGAGGAAGCAAAACTGTTTTTGAAGGAATGGATAACCTCCACTGACCCCCAATCTCAGAAGGGGGTCATTGGAGGGCAGTTCACAAACATGATGTCACTAATACAAATGGAGAGACTCAGTTCCTTAATATATAGTTTAATGAGATCTTCTGTTAGTGCTTGGAATATATTTCTATCTAATCTCCTAGTTAAAATCGACTGACATGCTACTGTAGCTATTGTCCCAGCTCAAATTATTTCTCTTTGTCTTTCTGCATTCAAATCATTTGTCTGTGTTTGTTTATGTATCCATGAAAAATAGTAAATTAAATGAAACAAATCTGACTTCTAATAAATATAAATACTTAAGATTGCAAACTGCTGTTTTCATGAGCCGTTTAGCAGAGGCGCTGTCACCATGTGTGGTTGGTATAGAAGATCATAAATGGTAAAATTGAACAAAAAAATCAAGCGATGGATCCTCACATCCTTTTTAAGAGGTTTTAACTGGTTAAAATATTTTCAGCATTTATGTTCTGAGATGCAGAAAATAAATTGAGAAAATAGATTTTTATGCTTGAATGAGACAGAAGCAAGACAGGGTTACTGTTATGAGCAAGATCTCAAGAGCTTTAATTTTTAACATTCCCACTAACACACTATGGCTTACAAGTTTTTTTATTTTAATTTCCAAGCTTGACCATCATTCTCTTCTCTCTTTCCTACTTTTTACATATTCCTAATCTAGGACATGGGAATATAAATAACTATTATGAACCACAAACCAAAGCATAACTGAGAAAAAAGTTTTTATAGGTACAAATCTAAATTTATAATCCAAAGGGGCTGTTTTGACAGAATAAACTCTCGTATTCCAGCTGCTCTCCATCAATGGTGCTCAAATCTAGCTGCCATTTTTTTTTTTAAAATGGCAGTTCTGATCTGATTTACAAGTTAATATCTGAATGCCCACATGCTTAATAAAAAATCATTTTCAGCCTGAGAAATCTCAACAGATAGTAGAACATTGACCAGACAGTGATCAAAGGTATCCTGCAACCATCCATTTGGACGACTGGCAAGTTATCTCGCAAGTCCATAAGTTTATCTTTTGGGCACTTTAGTGAAATGGGATAACAATTTTTTTATGTTTCTCCTTTTTAGTTTATGAGATTATAAGGAGTCAGTCTACATTATCCCTGCAGCCATTTTTATAGTAAAAACATAATGATAATAGTTATAATAATAATTTTTATTATTACTCATCTAAATATAAATGGTAACATATTTTCTCAACGATAATAAAAAGTATTTAAAATAAGAATAAATGATTAAACAGAATAAACCCCAAAAAATAATTGTAGAATGTAGAGAAGACCTTATAGACTAAGTTAAGAAAGTATTTAAACATCTTTTTGGCACAATTTGTTCAGCAACAGTAAACAAATTCCATGCATTTGCTCAGTGTAAGGAAACTAAATACAATCCAATGTCAAAAATTAACTTCAATGAACTTAAATTAAAATGTTAATAATTTTAATTAAGATTAAAATCATTTTAAAAAGAGCTCACCTTTGTGTAATCTGATCTCTGTATAAATCTATTCTATAAAAGACAGCGAGTTAGATTAAAACCTAATCAAGTGTTTCAATGATCCAGTTAAAGTCGAGCTAAATTTACCAAAAAAAAAAAAAAAATGATATTAATGAAATATTTCCCTTAATTCCGGATTAATTTAAGACACTTTACCAAGAGTATTAGGCAAAAATGTCAGCCTCTAGCGGATTAAAGCTTCTGCTACAGCAATGGGCTGAAGGTTAAAAACATTCCGTTTGTATTCAGTCCAGAAGTAGATCAGAGTTTTCAACCTCACAGGATCAATTTAAAGTTCAGGATTTGAATAGTTTTTTAAACCTGCTTATTGAAATGGACCCTAGGTCTGTCTTCAGTGATTTATTTGGAAAACACTGAAGGATGTTGTATACATTTATTTTCCATATAGTACAGGGTAGGCTGACCCTGAAGTGGTACTTGTACTAATTCGTATTTGGACTCAGTCCTTTAGCCACTGCCTGTGAAAATGAGTATGAATGTCTGCCACACTTTTCAATTTTTTATTTGTAAAAAAAACAAAAACCAGAGCATTCCTTTCCTCCCACTTCACAATTAAGCAGTACTTTTGGTTTGCCTCATAAAATCTCAATAAAGTCTGTGGTTTTTATATGTCAAAGGGGTGTGAAGAATTCTGCAAGATCCTCTAGTCAATTTTTACTGCACAAGTACAGAAAAGAAAAGGAAAACAGCTATTCTCTGGCTGGCCATTAAATTATAGAACCATTACATTGATCTTGGTGCCTGTCAGACATATGAAGCATTTTGCGGCAGCACAACCCCATCACCACAAGCCAATCTTTAATTACAGCTCTCATAAAGCAGTGATGTGAGCTGAACATCATAGCTGAATCCACTCCCTGATTTTATTTCTTTTTCTTTGGTGGTATCTCCCCAAATCCAACAGCATTACATCATCTTTACTGCCTCTTGCTCTGAGTCTTCCTGGCACCAGCACACAAGGCCACCAACTTGTTTCATTCTTTTTTTAATTTCACATACACTTTAAAATCATTACTGTGCTGTTTATTATTAAGTTTTAACATGTTGCATCTAAAATTATTTCGGAAAATCACATAACAAGTAAAAAATATAAAAAATATTTTTTTTGAAAAATCCCTTTTTGTTTTTAAACCTACAAAGACCATAAAGTTTATTCCAAAGACTCCAGACTGGAAGCATTTCTCAGCAGTCCTGAAAGGCTTTGAAAAGCAACTGGATACACAGCAAAAAATTGGTCCAATCAGATAACATCAACCCATAAACAAACACTACAATCAAAATCTATTCTTTCCTTGATTCATTTTGGTGAAATCATACAGTTTTAGAAGGTCTAAAGGAAATTATTTACATAATGAAAATGAAGGAGCTATGTAAAAAGCAGAAATGGTTCAGTGTAATTTGGGAAAATGAATAGTTTAAAAACAGTCTTGATTAGAGCCTGAAAATACAAAACAAAGCAATGAAGAGTAATCTCAGTTTCCTTTTGCAGCTGTTGTTCTGTCAGATAATATAGGACATGAGCAGACTTGGTCTAAACCTTTCCTTCCCTTTGTTATGAGGTGAAGTTTGGATGCTTTAAAGGGAAAAAAAGAAAAAAGAAAATTTCCATCACCAACAACCACAGGTTGATTGTGATTTCTCAGCAAGTATGTTTGCTTAAATGGTTTAAAAAATACATTTTACAGTCCCCCTTTCACTATGGTACCACAAAAAGAAAAATATGCATGAAAAAAGTGGAAACACCAGCTTCTTCTTCTGTTTTATGATTTGATTCCACACCAAATTAAATAGAATCAGAGGAAGTAGGGAGGGGGTCTTAATATCTTATAGATAGCATCTGGGCAGATATAAGTGTGTGGTCACTCATAAAGATCACCACAATCTGGAGTTTGCTCGTGCAAGAGAACACACAACAATGACTGCTAGATCTGTCTCAAAACAACTAGTGTAACCATGGCTCTGAGAAAAAAAAAAAAAAAAGACATTTGTCCGCAAGTGTGACAAAAGAAGGAGTTAAAAAAGAATTTCCCATTTTCAAGCAAATTCTTAATCGAAATATCTCTTATAATGGCCAGGCTGTGCAATTTTGGGCTGTTTGTGGTGCATATTTTCTTAACCCTGATGACGAGGGTTAAGAAACCCTGATCTAAAGTACAAATTTCTTATGTTACATAAAAAATTTAACATATAACATTACATTTGGGCGAGTTTATATCTGTATGTTTTGTATTTATTATTCAACCAGATATACATTTTTAGCAATCATATTAGTGACCATTACAGACCTTAAATAAATTAATAGATGAGTAATAAGCACACCTCCAATTCTCTTTGTATAAGTAGCATCCCAAGTTGGCCTATTCATTCAATCCTGAAAACATCCAATTTTTTCTGCTGTTTTTACTCAGATTTGTTCTGAGGTACATAAAATAAATAAATGCTGAAACCCCGAGTCCAAAACAGTTTGTTGTGCTCGTATCTTACAGCACAGCAAACTGACATATGTTGTACGCTACTTTAACTGTTTATTGTTGTAACAATAATGTTTATCTCACAATGTGCTCACATAATG